GATCTCAACTTTGCAATCATCGCCTAACTACAGTGGGAGCGGTCCACGAGTGACAAGAGTAACACTGCAAACAAACTTTTAGTAGAAAAGAAGATGGAAACGTGGCTCAAAAGTTGCCATCCGAAATACGTATAAAGTCGGTGGACACCAGGCCACAAATCGACAAGATAAAGCCTTTGTGTGTGACCCGTCAGCATGCAGCTCAGAACTGGGATGCAGACACTTACTGATGCCGAGAACTCTACATGCCAACTCGGAATTACTCTGGAGCCAGCGGTTACCGTTCAACAAAAAACGACCGATAGGCGACCACAAGAGGGTCGACATAATCCCCCACCCAGAAGCGGCATTTACAAATACGCTGCTACCCTTTAAGGCCCTCGCCTGTTTGTATACCAACGCTCAGTAAGTTAACCGAGCTTAGTACACGTTAGGCATTCACTACTAGCGGCATCGCCATGATTACTGAAACATGGTTGAATACTGAGATCAGTGATGCCGAGATAGCCCTGCCCGGCATGACTCTCCTACGAAACGACCGACCCAGTAGAAGAGGCGGAGTGCTCTTGTATTTCCGATCTGACCTGCATATCGATGTCATCTTCGATCCAGATACGCAAGTTGTCGATTCTCTCCGGTGCCGCCTGCATCTGATGATTGTGATGTGTGCTTACTTGCAATAATATACCGCTCTCCAAGGTCCACCCTAGAAACGTGTCACCTTCTGGCGTCTGTTATGAAGCGGATCCTGACACGGTCATACAATCACCTCCCTTTGGTGGGGGACTTCAACCTGCACGCAATCGAAATCCCAGTTTCGCGCAACGAACAATTCAAAGCGGACTTGCACGACGTCATTGCCGATATAACGCTACACAACCAAGTCATCGCTCCCACGAGATTCAGAACTGGCGACGAACCATCTGACTTAGGCAGACCTTGTGTTCACCAAGGAGGAGCTATTTATTGATGCAGTAAACATAAGTGCACCGCTCGGCCGTAGCGATCACGCGACGCTGATGTTTCCCTGCATCTTTTACGCGAAATACATCTGAAAACAGCGAGAAAGTTCACGTCGTGAACCATTAGGGTACATTGTCTGACCTCGTTCAAGAAACCAGCAGGTCCTTCCTAGCTCAGCAACCTCCGACGTCGCCTGGAAGAATTTTGTCATCCGGTTTACCGGGTTAATGGCAAATGCGTCGGAACTCAAGTTCTTTCGCTTGAAGCAAAACAAGTCTTTGTTGAAAAGTCGGATGCGAAAGTGCATAACCCTAAGACATTCGGCCTGGCGCGCTTATAAAGCCTGCCCGGATGCGCAGGCCTGGGATGCCTACATCACTAAACGAAATCACTGTGTCAAATTGTTCCGCGAAGACAAGCCCAAACACCAACAAGACTTAGCGACAAAATTCCCTACTAATCCTAAGATGCTCTACAGTCACGTGAACAAGCTCCGGATTCCAATTTTACGTGCAGTAGATAGTCTGGCGCTCACTACACAAGATGCGTTGAATGCGCTTCCGCAACAGTTTACCCGCACTTTCCAAAGTGAATCGTCACTCCATCCATCTATGACACAGCTCACTCCGCCCCCAGGATTCTGCCACTAATTCTTCACTGCCGCAAATGTGATGAAAAGGCTGCTATTCTTGCGCGTGCACAGCTCTCCTGCTATGGGTAACATCAGACCGAAGGCATTAAAAGCAGTCGCCATGAACCTTGCCGAACTGTTAGCCAGGTCCTCCCAATGAAGCCATGAGGAAATGTACGCTCCGACCAGGAAAGTCATTCCTATTTTCAAGAGTGGAAATCGTGCGGAGCCTTCTACTGTCCAATCACTCCTCTCAGTTGTGGAAGGAATAATCGCAGAGGCGTTCGTGGAATACTTTGAGAGCAACAACATCATCGGAATCGGTCATGCACAGAAAGATTTGTTACTAGCCCGAGCAAACTAGACGAACTCAGTCGATGTCAGACAAAGAGTCGACGTCGTATACTTGAACTTCTCTAAAACATTCGATCGCTTGGACCGTCGCATTCTTCTTCAAACTTCGAAGTTACGGAATCGGTGACCCTGTGCTAGGTTGTATAAGCAACTTTCTCATTCAACGTCAACTGAATGTAAGGGTCCCAAAGATTCATCTCCGACCCAATTGAAGCACTGGGACCACGTCTATTCCTGGTATTCATCAACGATCTTGCTAAAGTGCTCCAATCCGACTTATTATTATTTACAAACGACGTCAAGATCTGACATGACATCAAGACAGTGGACGACCAGTCGGCACTACAAAAAGACCTCGACAGGGCCTACACATGCCCATCCGAAAACCGGCTCCCGCTTAACTTGACGAACGGCAGTTCTGAGCATACGCCATCAGTGTGCTCACAAATATCGACTGGGAGAGCAGCAGCTACATGCTGCGCAGGAAAGCGACTTCGGGGTAGTAGTGCAGGACGACCGTAGCTGCTCGAAACAAGCAGACAAGGCATCGAGAAGAACCAGTCAGCACCTTGGCATTTTAGGAAGAGCGTTGGGAAATTTGAAGCCATCAATCTTTCCATAAATGCTGAACACCTAGGTGAGGCCCCGCGTGGAGTACGCGGTCCAGGCCGGGCTACCTTAGCGCAAACATGATGCTGCCGCGCTCGAAGCTCTACAAAGTAGGGTGATGAAAATCGTTAGAGGATTCTATCACATCTCTTACCAACTCAGACTACAAGGCCTAGGTTTGTACAGCGGCGAATACCGGCACATGCGAAGTAATCTTATTATGGTGTACAAAATACTGACTAATCCCAATCAGAGCTGTCGTGATCTGCTGCGAATCAGCCACAATACCAATCTTGGGAGGCCACCAGCTCAGACTTAGCACACATCACAGTCGACTTGACTGCCGACAAAACGCTTTCTTCCTTCGAGTATCCAGAAGGTTGTAACACTTCCTTTTCACGTTATTTTCGCCCCCACATTAACGCTTTTAAAAAAAGCATCTGACTATATCACATTCGTATTACGTGACATAGTCCGTTTTCATTGAAAGACAAATTAACGCAAACGGTGTGCTCACCAGCTCTCCGTTAGGTAGCGGTAAGGAGACCAGATGTGTTCATGTACATAACTCGGCAGACCACATCAAACTATAATTTTCCCTGTTACTTTAAACAATCGTTTTGTAATCCCCACTCAGGTCACCCTACGGGACTTACCAAGCAATCGCTTTTTTGCCCGTTATAAATCATTGTTCATTGTTACCAAATTGAGTCTATGATCACCGTTTCCGAATCGTCCGCCGGTTTGCGCTACAGGTAATTGCGGTAACACAGAAGTACCCCGCCTCCCATGCTGGGACGATCGTTTCGAACACTGGACATACCATGTATCGCGACTTGGGTGTTGGTACTTTCTGAGTGCAAGCAAGTTTCAGTCACAAAGATGAGGTCCCAGGCATATAATGCTTGACGTAGTCGCAGTTCAATAAGCTTGTTCAAGAGTCCTTGTGCATTCCTGTAAAGTTTTAAGCCGTAAACAGTGAGTCGGGAGACGTGTTTTGGAGTTGATGTTGCGCCGACCGGTAAAAAGTCGGCCACTAACCGTTTTTTGGTGGAGAAGTGACGAACTAATTTGTGTCAGATTCAGCGATTCCGTCATTTCCTGCTTACTCATCTCTTCGTGTGTAACGTATAGTGTTTGTCACCTATTTCGTCAGGTAGAAGAGTAAACAGTTGTCGGTAAATGGTTAGATATAACTGCTCATGTCATGTGTTTGCTTAGAGGACGCCGCTTGGAGCTGGACCTCAGAAGGTAGTTTGCTGCGACGTGCATATCAGCACTTCAGTGCCACTGCTGACATGTTTTTGTTTTTAAGCACCACCACAATCCTTGGATCATGTATCTTTTGTAACTTGGCGATGTACGTAGCCACATCCTCTAGCCTCGGAGAATCTCCGGTCTCCTCATCGGTCCAGTTCATCCATGTGGCTAATTGGTGTTGCTCTTCGGAGATTTCGGTCAAGGTAGTCCAGATGGTTTCGAAAATGTTTAAATGTTGCAATCAGTTTCTCTGTTACACTAGATCGTTGGAAAAATTGGAATCTGAAACATTACCTAATCGTATTCCGTAACGTTCTGCACAAGAAAATGCATATTTCCAACCTTAACATTGCAATCACCATCATACGACACACGAAATAAGGGACATTCGGTAGTAGAATGCAGGTCAAAGACCACCAGATCCGCTAACTTCTTCCTTACCAGATATGCACGCATCTAAAACGAATTGCCAACCGATATCCATGCAAGCAATTCAGAGCAGGAATTTCAAAAAAGGACCAACAAATACTTGACCGTGCAAAATGTGATCTAAACAGCCAAGCATAGGAACAAGGTCCAGGATTTGTATGATCCAAGAACCAGTCTATAACAAAAAGGGAATATTGTAATAGTAAGGACTCTATACTCACCGTCTTCATCTTTCTTCCTCCTACTTGGCCATGACAATGTTGTCACCAACAAGTGTGTTTTGAGGGAGGGATTCATTCAGACACACCTCCACATTCCTCGTCTTCATTGTCGATGTTCCTACTAATAGGTGCTCCTCTTGCTTCGGTTTCATATGAGTGCCACTAACAGAATTCGATACTAATGAATAGCCATGAAAAAGCAGCCACCAAATGTGCTAAACGAAAATTGACACCTTGTTTATACATTTTCGTATTAATATTCTCAAAAGACCTACTAAACCCTACAGACATTCTGTGCAATATCAGGTAATACATTGAAGCAACGGACAACTTTGATACTCTCAAAATTGAAATAGATTTTCATTACTGTTGTGCATTTTTTGACCATTCATCGTCGTTGAACCAGAAAATGCTTTATTTACTGAACATGCCGTCACTGGCGTGTCTCGCCAGAAACGAGAATGTACAATTTATTTTATTTATCTACTTACTTTCCCCATTCTTTATTCATTCCATGTGCTTCGGAACACCAGCACCCTTCCAGCCTGGACGAATATAAAATGGACTTAGTGGCAAAGCTCAGTTCCCTTCTAATTCACTTGTGTGTAAGCCACTCGCACAGTTCTTCTATCACACAATCCTGGTACAGAATTTGTCCGATCAACGATTCTTGAATCAAAGCCTTGTTTGCATAGACGATTTGCTGAAAGAAATACGGCAACAGCTCCACCCGAATAACCTGAAGTGAGTATTTTAACCGTACTTCCTCAGCCTTCTATCCTTCAAGATGCTTTGAGATGACTGTGGAGCACTTCGTGGGACAAATCATTAATGCAGTCACGAGCACATTCCCAACTCGCATGCAGCCTGTATGTCATAACGTAGCGCCCTCCCAGCCGCCCGTCCAACTGCCAGGGGCATACACAGATAACCTGACGATTATATGAGCACCCAACCGTGACCACTGGGGGCTCGCCCAATTCCATGATGCTTTTTGCGCACACATGCAATTGTTTCGTTTCCTGTAAATTATACCCCTTTATTCGTTCGTTCGTTTGTTTTATGTGCGAACTCAAAATACGCTTCGAAATAAAGTAGTGCCACTGACTGCTTGGCGAATTTTTGTACAACTCGAATGAGTGTGTAAACTCACAACCGACCCCGGCGTAAGCGACATGTATTTAGCAGTTTGATGTGGTCAACGCAACTGCCAACAAGCGCAGCGCGTAATCGCTGACACCCGGGAACAAGGTAACACACCCTGTCTACCGACAGATGGGACTCCACAGTTCTGTACTTTATCAAGCCTTGCCAAATACATCTATAATCTCCAGCTAAATGTAATGACTGAACCTTGCATTTATAGCAGCAGGGTTGGAGACCAGCGTACTGTCGTGAGGACGAGGCTTTATTCGTGGTGTGATGATCTGCGAGCACTCGTGGTCCATTGAACTAGGCCACGTGGCACTTTCCAAATGTTAGGGTCACTCACACATTGTTTAGAAGTCAGATAGACTCGGTCTCAACGCTCTTCACATGAGGCCACAGAGGGACGGATGGCTTCATGAAGATCTCACTTATTGTCAAGCTTCATAGTGCCTTTTCAACAGCAAGAGGCAATTGTCATGGTTACATCAATTCCTCATTTCTATTCAGTATGGGCGTAGATTCCGTCACGGATTTTCGCAGGATCTCACGATGCTGACAATGTGGCCTTACATGCGCGAAAAATGTCCAGTCCGGACTTTGCGAGCAATCTTTTACTGTTTTACAATTATGAAGTGATAATAATGCTTGGCAACCTTTAAAGATCAAAAGGCTGTCTCAGAACCACCAGCCGCTCGCTTGCTCTTAGATCCTAACGAAAGGGAACTGCAACAACTCACCTATTTTGGTAACTACATCAGAAATGGCGAACGTGTGAAAGCTGACTATAACTCACGTATTGCGAAAGTGAACCATATCTCGGGCCGCCGGGTGTCCACCACGATAAAGCGGTTCGGCGAGTAATAAGCGGTGCTTCTAAGTTTAGCACATCAGATCAATATATGTAGCTGGTTAAGCTACGTTGCTCTGGTCATGTTACATATGTTCACTCATCCACCTACGGAAGAGAGTTTTATGTTGCTACCTGGTTTCGGGGCAATCATTCATTTGACAAGAGAAATGAAGATCAAGCGTTGTTACTTTGTCCCAGTTTTCAGATAGGAGTCTACAGGAACTCTCTCTGCACTCAGCTCGACAAGCAACATGGCTTTGCCAGCAACTATCACCAGTGGTGTGTCTTTTGGCTGGGCAGTCCGTTTACTTCACGTATTTGGCAAGTATGTGGGTGAGACTATGATTCAGGACAAGAGAAGTTGTGGGGAAACTGTTTCGCCGGCACAGTTATATCGTCGAACGATAGCAGCCGTCTGTCATGATGCGTCGTCAAGGTGTGTAAATCTCGGATTAATGACTGCTTGCATCATTTGAACACATTAGATCCCTTGTTTCCTTTCACTCTTAAGGTCGTTAAATCGTGGTGGTAGCGAAGCACCAGTTTAAAATGCCTTCAGGGCATCGTAGCAGACAGACCAATGATTAGAGGTCAAGCGGTCTAATTCCAAACACTAGAGGAAGCTACAGAATTCGACCATGGAGGAAAACAGTTTATAAGTCACAGGTTCATCTCGGTTAGCGTCGAGCGCGAGCGCCGCGATTGTATGACGATGAAACACGGTTGGCAACCTGTACGCACCTCTGTATGCTGGGTCATGTATCTCCTAGATTTGAAGGCACAAACCAACTGACACCCAAATGTAGTTCGCCACACTCGCAGCTGTGTTTTATGTCTGGATCGAAAGCAAACGGACGTAATGTTGCGCACAACCAGCTTCGGGTAGACTTCCGCTAGACTAAACACTGATACCGCGAGTTGCATCTACAGTCCATTTGTCCTGCTGCGTCAGGAAGTTGTCAGAAGCTGAGTACATGGAAACGCAGACCAAGCCCTTCTTCCGAAATCAGAACTTCATCTGTAGGTTCATTGCTCTTCTCTGTTTCTGCGCCGTTATACATCAGTTCCATAATGCTATGATGCTAAAGACTTACCTGTATCCACTAGGAAGCAAAGGCGACATTTCACATCGAATTTTTCATCGTTCACTTTATGTCAACTGGGTAGTACTGGCTCTCGTGGATTACATTTAATCTATCTTCGAAAAGCACATACAAAATGCGATATCCTTAGGAACCTTCGATCACTCGACTCGAGCTCTGGTGATACCAGGTAGACGGCCAGACATCTATACGATGTTGGCGTTTCGCTCGGTAAAGGCTGAAGTCATTCAAGTTGGATGGATTCCATTGAGCAGTTCGGATTTGATGCACCACTAGAGTTGCATTTCGATGGTGCAAAGCATAGCAGGAAACGTCTGCCAGCCAGAGCTAATTTATCTAGTACAGCTTGACACGTTCTGGGACTGTCATAAATGAGCGCAATATCGTCGGCATACTCCAAGTCGAGGAATCGTTCACCAGGGAGAAGCTTCACACTTTCTAAGTCGGGTCCGGCAAACGGCGTTTCCCAACCAGGAAGTCGAGGCAATTGACAAGTAAAGTCGAGCATTTGATTGGAACTAACATGCATACCGGGCGCAAACCAGCATGGACCACCATAACAAGTTGACGGTTCGTCTCATTCACTGTACTGACGATTTCCAAATGGTCATTACTCTTCTACTAGAGCTTCCAGCCATCCCATATTCTGAAATAATGTTGCGTTTTTCTCCAAACCACGCTGCAGTACCGCTGGTGGAGATTTTCATCCTGATTTCGGAACTAAGTTGGAAACATGTCTGCTAAATGCTTTCCAATAACATACGTCACTTAGCTACACCTCTTGCCTCCTTCGTAGTTCAGGTTGATGGTGGTACTTGCTCCACATCTAATGGCAGTCCTCAAAGTTAGTCCCGATCGACCCGCAATATCGTGCAGTAATTTCTGTCCAAACACTCTGTGTTAATTTGTTACTCCATCAAAAGCTGAGTAATTTTCCTTCAGTGGGTGATTACGACACCAGAATTGTCTTTTTCGCTTAGGTTCTAAAGCAAGTTGCGCTGCTGAGAAATCACGCATAGTTCAACCGGTGTACCTATCTTGATCTGGCATGTACCGTCGTTGTCTCGCTATTGCATTTGCAGATGCATTGGCCTAACGACCAGCCACTTTTTCAGTAGCCATCAGATTGTTTCGTCATCTTGGATGTTCAGAGGAACTCGATCCCTCCATGGAATACAGCGTAGGCGCTCGCAAAGCTGCACACTCCCGCCGGGTGTTTCATTTTCGTAATACATTTATGAACTTCTAAAGGAAACCGATTCCCATAAGATAGCAAATGGCGTTGCTATAACTTGTTTCTTACTCTCACACAAATCCAAGAACTATCAGATCACTCTTTGAAGACCAATTTCTGTTGCCTCCTATCTTAAGGAGACCATTCACCCTTTGTGCTTCTAAAGCAGCATGATGGGACATCGTCAGCTGTAAGCCAATTACTTGTGTCAGTAGTGCAAACTCTACCCACTTCGTTTCCTAGCTAAGTAGCACGGCGCATTCATGGAGTAAACTTATTGACGGTGCTGCTTGAACTGAAAGTCATTAACAAGTATCAGAACAGTACTCGCTCGCTGGCGTACAAGTAGCTGATAAAAGGTCGGAGATCATTTGAATTTGTGTTTTGCCTTTCTTACAATTACCATCGCTCCTGTGGCAACACAAGGTGTCGTAGCTGGATCTGCCGCTCTTTAGGGCCCAGATCATAGGCGACTGATGGAAGTGAACTGAACTTACATGCGAAACGCTACTTCCAATGCATGTGGCGCGCCCGCGACACTGTACTCCGTGACCACTAGCACTCATAAGGTATAAATAACGTAAATGCACACGAACCTCACTACCCCTAAACCACTGAATCGCGATGGGTAACGCTCATCACAACGGCTACTAACTGGATGGAGGAGTCATTCTGAAGCATTCGTTTTGTGAATGGATTTCGACGCGCAATCTCAATGTGGATCGAGAATGTGTCGCAATCCACACACAGAACGACTGCTCCAAAATGACTCACAATTAGCCACTTTAAACGGTTTAGATGCACACGTGCCTCGCGTGTTTTTGGTTTAACTGGCCTAAGGAAGGTTTCGTATCAGAGAAGAAAAGCTTTTCGCTGAATACGTGGATCAACCGATCTAAGGCCATATCGAAGTTATATGTTGGCAAATTTCAGGTACGTGATATTTACACGAGGATGTTTGTGGGTTTTACCATGAACTGAAATCAGATAGGCAAGATCGTAACACAGTTTTCCGTTTCTTGTGGGCGACATCTTCGTTTATTACAGCGGTGGACGCTTCTCGTTTTATGATTTCTCTTGTATACTGTTCTGGTTCGGAGAGGATGGGAACAAACTTCCCAACACCGTCACGAATAGGCTTGGGACAATCTGAAGGGGGAAACAGAGGCATGATGAAAGCAAACACGATGGACTCCTAGGCTCAATTTGACTAAAGTTATACGATAGGCATTAATGGTCGATAGATGTATAGTGTAAATGATGAGAGAATACAGTGGTATCGGAACGATGTCGGGCGGCCGTCAGAGTCAACAGTCTCTTTCGTCCCAAATTTTATCGTCACCATTGATGATAAACCTCAGTGATGAAATGGTTAGCCATATGCCCTTTAATGGATTTTTGGAAATATTGAAGTTGAACATAGCACAGTTATTCTTGACTCAAGAAACAACCACATCGAAGACGATGTGAGAGGACATTCAGCTCGTTCGTGAGTGACAGTCGACATTCCAAGTAAGCGTGATATATCTACATTGTGGACTGTGAGTTTAAATGGCAAAGTGTGATCGCTAGCGCATCTTAGCATCGGACGACCGATAAGCTTATACTGGCGTGAGTTATCCGTAGTTGGAGGTGCGTTATCAACCGGAACCAAATCTCATTCTTTGTTCGGTGGGGTTGGATAACGATTCAAATTCTTATTATGATAAAATTCACTGTTGACAACAAGATTGCATATGCCGACTTCCACTCGGCTGTTCAGATCTGATTCGAGCACCAAAGCTAGTGTAGAGGTTAGGCACAGGAATAGAAAAACAGTAATAAAATGGGGAAAGTGAAAATTCTCAACGGACAGGCGGATGGATAAACCGATGGCAACAACGGTGCCTTTGATTTAGCTCCACACTCTATTGCGCGCTGCTTCACAAAGCAGCGCGAGTCTCAGGAACCCTAACCTAATCGGTGGTACAACGATCTAATTAAGCTAACAAATCGATCACTTCCAACGGCCGGTCTGAGTGGCTATGTCGGTGTCATGTATCATGAAGGCCAAAAACATGCGAGAGTATGCAACGCAAATCGTCTGCCTATTCAGCAGCGATTGTATAGTAGCTGGTTCGGATCTTGGCGTAAGCCAAATTAGTCGGCCGGTCAACTGGTAAAAGTTCCATTCGAAAACGGAAATCACAGTTATTCATGACCTGTTCGATCAGAGAATCAAATAGGAAGGGAACGATAGGGCAGTTCTGACGCACCACTTATTGTAGAGTGCGCGAGCTCTATAGAGAATGGGTTCCAAACAGCAAGGAGCTTACTGGAACGCCTCTCGAATTCTGGTTTGTGCGCTGGACACATCTGACGGTTAGAACAAAAGTCAGTTAGGGAGAAACATCGCGCTGCCACTTACGTTTGCCGCGTAGTAAATTTATGCTTCCGAAGGATGCTCACTAATGCTTTGCAGTGAAGCAACCCGTATTATGTCAGCCTGTATTGGCAAACAAATCGACCGCATGACACATCTTGTTTCCAATGATCATTATGAGGCATAATTGGTGATCTAATATCTAGAGCAATGTACACGCAGTTCTTGTGGTTTAGGTTACTCTGCTAGAATGAAGGGGCTTAACATGCCGCGTGAACCAATTAGCATGAGAATCGATGTCAATGACCGATAGAGGGTGTACAGGTGCACGTTTTCAGGTAAGGAAAGTTCAACCAATGATGAAGCTCGACATCACAACTAGACACCATCACATTATGATCTACAAAGCTAACGGGTATACGGAGGACATTATCTAGCTAACAGGTGAACACTCGAGTCCGACGCCAGATTTCTTTCTAAAAGTCAACTGACGCTACTCCCACCAGATGTGAGCAATACACAGCAAGTACCGGTGATCAGAGACGACCAATCTATTGTGCGACGTGGCTGCGTTTGTGGTCCATACAAAGAACATCAATCTTATCGCAGCCCTGTCGCCTCCAATGATGGAAATTTTAGAAAGTAACACGAACACGTGGTGAGGCCACTAGAACCGACTGGCCATGTTCAATGACTATTCGGTGATAGCTAGAATCGGTAGCGCAACAATACCATACCATACACCCTGAAGATGCAAAGCATACACCGAAGCGCGCAACGCTCTGCAACAATCTATTCAGATGCGTGTGTAGTGAGAGAGATACTGATCCAAGGAGATCTATCGTCTGAGAACTTCCAGTTACTCGGTGGAATTTCCAGTCCGGAAGACATCGAGAAGATAATCGTTTATGATCATTAAAGCCCGTGTCAGTAATGCAACCGAAGTGGGTGAGTGCACGGTGCCACACAGTGACGAGCCGAAGGAAGGATTTGAATACATTTGTATGAGTAATCTAGTGCATGAAATACAGTGCAGTGACATTACTCGAGTTGTGACGGCGAGCTGCCACTTCGGCTTCTAACGCCTCTTCCTCGCGTCGGTTCCCCGGCTTTGGTCTGATTGGACCAGTGGTCGTGACTTCGTTTTCGGAGGCCATTGCACGCTCCTTCTTGAGCATCTCCTCGACTTCTTTAAAGGGGTCGATAAACACCTCGCAACGCAAAAGTTGAACTTCTTCCTGTAAAATTGCAATCGGAAATAGTCACTTAGTGAAAAAACAAAAAGGAACCCAAATCAAAGGTCTGGGGCACACACCTTCGGTGCCATCTTTGCGCGTTCCGTGTTTTTTCAATGTCCGCTCGCAGCAATATAAATATGTGGGCACAGCTCAGCTGAGCCACTGTGTTGTATGCGCATTCTACATACATATCACAATTATTGAGTAAAAAAATCGGAAAAACAAGGCCAAGAAAAAGTGACCCGTAACTACTAAAGGGGCCATGAATGGTCTGCGCTGCACTAACTACAGATCCATCCACACACACACACACACCACAAATGGACTAAATACGAAGGAATACAACTGGGAGTAATGTGCATAGGAACCACTATTGATTCGGACCACATCCTTTCCATTCATATGAAACGGAGAAGCATGCGTACCACGTCTCTCTCGACAACGACCAACAGACTGCTGAAGCCAGCAACCTAGGTGGCGGTACTCAATAGGTAAACACCTTGTCAAAATTCGCGTCAAGCACATCAGCCGTGGGATATTAATCGATAAGAACCGTCAGACATCAATCTATTAGGTTGCGTCGGATTCTATTTATTCACCCAGTTACTCGCGTCTTTTAACCAAACATGTCTGAAAAGCAATGCGGATTTCGTTCGGGCCGCATTACCATATATATGGTGTTCACTGCAGGAAAAACGCCGTAATCAAAACCAGTCGCTGTTCGTCGACTTCATCAAGGCATTGGACTCGATGAACCGCGTGGCACTGTATCTGGTGTTGGGTAAGTTCGGTTACCCATATAAGTTTGTTCACCTAACTGAATGCCATTACAGTAGTATGCAAGCAGGACTGTCGCTGTGTGAAACCAAGTTCGGCCTCACCGTTAAAGTAAAGTTGTCTTTTCCCATCCGTGAACTCCCGTAAATCAAGATTGCTGGGGACGTTTTTGATGCATCAAGAAAGCCACAGAACAGGTAAAAATGTATCTCGTAAAAAATAACCAAATAACTGAGTTTCAACCCCTTGTTAAACGGAGAGTCAAACGACAGACACACGACCAATGGTAAGGTAGGAATGAGTCAGCAAGCCAACCAATGAGATTGAGCCAATCGATCTTGCTCACATGGTTACCACAGTTTTGAAGACCACATCAAAATTTTGTTACCTCGGGAGCATGTTGTCAACAGCACTTCGATTGACTAGCGAGCAGCACACGCGCATATCGAAGGTCAGTATTGCAATCGGCAAGCCGAAATATTAGGTCTGATAGAGTCAACAGCCGACCGTTGGTACTGAGCTGATAGTGTACAAGTCGGTGGTGCTGGTGGTTCTTCTTATGACAGAGAAACGTGGACAGGATATCTGGAGCGATTCCATCAGCAATGCCTGAGTCGAATTCTGTGTACCTGTTGGTGTGATTGAGTTCCTGACAAAGAAGTAGTTCACCACAGCGACATGTATCACTGCATACCTCTGCGAAATCTGAATTAGATCGTCCACCGCATGAATGCAGCAATGACACCGACATGTGGACAAACCGTAGCTACCTTTAGGTGTTGGGAAGCAATGACAGTGGGTCGTCACCAATGGCGTTATCACACCAAGAATGTCGTTGCTCAGGTGCAGCAGATAGGATTCGTGCATCAAGAAGAAAAACGCTGGCTGCACAAGCGCAAAGTGTCATCGAAGCCACGCACCTGGTGCTGTAGCACATACTGTTGTGTATGCCACATCAACGTGGCCACGAATAATGGGTAAATATCGACGCGTCGTAAACACACTGCTTCCGGTTTCATTTATTACTCCAGTCTATTAAGCAAGATGGTGCATTACTCATCCAATTTTGATTGGCGACTCCAACTGCTTCATTCTTCTCGTATACCTTCCCCCCCCCCCATCAAACCACCACGGTACCACAAACCTGTACCAAAAACAACCAAATGAGAATGCACGCGAACTGGTAGCATACGACGACAAAACCCAAAATGAAAATATTCGCAAAAACATCTCTATTGTAACCCTATAGAAACCCAATCCATTGACAGCCTCGCATGCCTGAGCTTGCTGCAATGTAAATACGATCAGTTCCTTTGGGGGCTCGGTAGCACGAAAAATATACCGTTATTATTATTATTTACTAACCCAGGCCAATATTACGACTGATATGGCACCTATGTTGTACCGCAACTGCAGTCGGTCTGTACATGTGCCTGTGGAATTATGTTGTTGCATGTTTGATTGTTATCCCAGTTCTGGCTGAGCCTGATGCGAATGTTGACATGGTGTCTGTTAGGAGGGCTGTCTCCAAACGAATTCATTCCTATTGACACTTATGTTCATTAACTACTACCATATTTTCCTCCATTTTAGCTCGTCACTGATCTTATTCTGGAATGTGACGCTCTTTCCTTTCCACTGTACAACACTCAATTTCTCCGAGCTTCCCTACTCGGAAATATATTTTCCATCAGTGCTTGTTAGCCTTCTCACCTTCCGTGTTTACATTTTGATTGATTGAAAAACACTAAAAACATAACAGTGCCCAAATGTCGAAGATCGCGATCTCGGTTATTGGATCAAGGAGACTGACAACTGATGCCGTGAGAGACGGAATACAGTCTTCATGACGGTGCTAGACTTAAAGGGAGAATCTATTCAGTGTAGAATGGGCTACGGTCCAGTCGTAAATCTGTGAATGTATGGTACACATGTTCCACCTAGTTACATATAAAGAACAGCATGCTAATGGTTTGAGTCGGATTCAAGTTAATCGTGGCTCTCATCCACATGCCTCAGTCTTATTACTTCGGGTTTAGACTGGATATGGTGTGTGGATGGTGCCATAAAGGCCACCCGTGGTCCTTCTGTAGGAGCAAGTTTCTTGTGTCTGTTCATAGTTACACTGACAAGCAAATCCGAAAACGGATAACGACGACCATATAAGTGGGAGAGTTCATGGTTCACTGGGGCTTGTGATTTCCTGACAGATCAATAAGGCACCGCTGCTCTCATCCTGTTGGCTGTCAGTGATTTTAGTTTCGATGTCCTTAGCAGCAGGTAATGAAAGGATCGTCCTCAGCAGATGAACTGCTAAACAGCGAGCTCCGCATGTCATCTGATGCCCTTCGGGTAGTCCCACAGGCCTCACAGCGAAGAAAACCGAAAAATGGAGCGAGAATTCATTAGGCGGCAAGGAGCAAAGTAATATACACTCACATTTGAATACCTGAAATGCGACGCAACACGGACTCTGAATGAGACCAAACGTAAATGTAGGGATGTTATCTACGGTGTGCTCACTGTATCACAAACTTGGGTCAACCACGCAGTCCAGATGCGACTAAAGTTGAGTCAACACATGCAACGGAGTCCACAGTGCTACCTTTTGACTCCCTGGATCATTTGAACTTACCGAAAAGTGATACGGAGGACGCAGTCAGCCGAACGAAACAATCGCCAATTCAGAGTTACCTCCCCAGGCATTACATCACATTTAGTGGGCCGAAGAACGAAGGACATTGTCTTCGAATCTATAAATAAATCCAAGGCTACAAGCTCATGCCGCTACCACGATCTCAAAAGAGGTGTTCGGGGAGATGTCAATTATTCCATAAAATCCCATTTTTCCAATGAGCGGACGATTTAAGCAAACAATGTTCAGCAGAAGCACCAAGATATTTCAAAAAATATCAAATTTGTCACGTGAGGCACCACGTACCTATTATTTTACCGGGCGGTGCGGTATTAAACTGCCAATTTTTGCAGCTGAACTATCCGTTTTAAAAGTCGAACAATCCTGAGTTAACCAATAGATATGTACTGATCTTTACGCTAATTGTATCGTCTCGGTAGCTGGTTCTTCAACAGGCATTTGCGTTGAGGCCGTTGCTTTCTGATATTAGCTGAGGAATGGAGCTTGTGGGGAACGACATCGCCTTAACCAGAATCGCTTAAAAAGCGGCAGGTGTAAGAGAGTTGAATTTCTGCAACTAACATATGTAAACAAATAATTGAGCTGTATACTTGAAAACACTGCGAAGACATTTCAACGGATTGTAGGCTAAACAGTCATTCAGAAGTGGAGACTATTTAAACCAGGCTAACTCACCAGTGGGCGATCATCTTTATCCGTTTCTAGCATTTCTACCTTATTTAGTGTGTCAGCACCACCGACGACTCTGAACGGTACATCAGCTAACACAAAACTTACTTTCCAAAAACAGTGTGTTTCCTATCTAATTGGTTGCACTTTCTGAAGGTAATGAAACTGAAGAGATAAATATTAAAGGAAACGTCTGCCTACAACTGTGATTGATTCGTGTTCGGTCCAGAGTTCGCCATTGATAGAACTCCCCGGGAATCATGAGTCAGGTTAGGAACAAACTCGTCAGCGAAAGGCTTTCCCCAGATAGATTCCCCGCCGAAGCCGGAACCACTCGGATCCCCACCCTGAATCTGAAAGAGCGATTAGAAAATAATACGCATACAATAAAGTAGCGTATAATTCTGTGGAATGTAGTGTCGTTGTAATACCCGGATTCGCAAAGTCTAATAAAGTTTTCACAAGTTTTGGGGACTAAATCACAATGCAGTTCCAAATTGAGCTTTCCGTGTGATGTTATCAAACTAACATAGCCCTTCTTCTTTACGTACTTGTACCGAACAACATCATCTTCCAAAATGGCTACATGTGCAAAATAAGGAAAGTATAGCGCTGAACGAACCAGGCTCAACTTTGGTCACCGGCTCCATTACGGTAGAGGTGAGGGAGGCCGCTGCTTTCCCTGTGGAATAGGAAGCCTAAGCAGGAGTAACAATATCAAATGACGATTCGGAGTACCGTGTTGAAAGAATCCCTTTTCTGCGAAGCAGGAGCAGCAGGCTTGTTAGACAACATGTAATCGGGAATATGAAGGTCTTTGGGCAGTTCGGCCAACGTTTCCTTGGTTTCTTGATTAAGTTGCCGGATAACCGTTGTATTACATTCATCTTGGAAGAATAGAGGTGCAAAAATGGACAAACAGTACCTTTAGCTTCCTCCGCATGTTGCACATGATAAAAAGCAGAAATATTGAACTTATCCAGATTAGTAGGGTCCTGAATCGTGATAATGTCATCCTTCGCAAACGGTTCGGAGCTCAACAAGTCGTAATAGTTGTTACTTTTCACATTGAGACGATGAACGGCCTGAAGCAAAATCAAACGGAGACGAACCAACTACCACCTCATATGAGTAGACATTTCCAGTGGACCTAATTGCAACGATATGGGTGTTCTCATTGAAAACTTTGAAAGTGACTGGGCAATGAAACTTTCCGTCAGAGTTCCTGTGAAAGAGAAGCTTGATTAAATCACCAGCTCTCATTTTCTGAGCTAATTACAGAAACAGGCGAAATACCTTTCCAGTGACTGGATTGATTCCATGCTTTCGAACGAAGGGTAGTACGTTTCTGACGAAAAGGTAAGTGTCTAAGCCGGACTTACTCAAGATCGAATATGATACCCTCTTTAGTACAATAAGGGTTTTTGAAGGGTTGAAAAGTGATGCTACACAGGTGATAGTCCCAAATCAGAACGTTTATTCGATACACACCTGCAACAGTGAAACGGCAAGCGTCTAAAACGTCGTTTGTCTTCGGCCGCACGCTTTCCTCCGTACAGTGTACTCCACTCGGTACAAGTCACGTACCTTACAATTATTCCGAAATATATATATATATAGCAGAACATACAACTTGTCCTTTTGATGTTGCTTCTTCCCCATGGCAACAAAATATACACCTGTAAACGGGAAATGGGTGAACTTGAGGGCTCAAAGGAAACTACAGCGACAAAAGAACCTCGTGAGCTTTCTATCTGCTGTGGGCCTAAGGGTCGGAAATTAACGTGACACAAAAATTCGAAGAATTCAAAAGGAAGCACACGACGTGACCATTGCCGATCAATTATTGACTACATTCTTTTCTTCTTTTTCTCAAGTCTATCAACTAGACAGAGCCAACAAAAAAAACCATGGAGATCAGCGGATAAGGGACCGTCATCGCGTCATAATCACCGTTGCATGGTAATTGAAGGTGAGCAACACACTTCAGCTAATATGCCGCAGGAAGAATGAAACATTTTGACAAAAAGTAGAACAAAACATTTTTAGTCTGTTTTTCACACGCCGATTTTTCTCTTTTTTGTCATTTTCAATGTTTGTAGTATTAAACATGTGAATCAATACAATACTGTACACAATTCTTCCACTGATTCCGGTTGCGGGCCATATCTTCAAGAGTGCGAAGCCATTGGCACTCCTCATCTTTTGGTCTCCATCCTGGAAGACGTACGGATCCAACAGCGGCTAGACACGACGTCAGCGATTACATGTGCTGCCGTCAAGTGGAAGGCTGACCACCACACGGTCGTCTCCAGCCAGGTCCTTGACGAGCAAATAGAGCGCGACGCGGTAGACGCTCAGGTGCCATGCGTAGGATGTGACCGAGTCATCTTAACTGGCGCAACAAAACCAGTTTGTCGAAGGGAATACTCGCATTCCCCAAGATGCGACCTCGAACGTCATTACCATTAACTCGATATTGCCACCAAACACGAGCGATCCTCCTTAAGTAACCGTTATCGATAGCAGAAAGACGACACATGTCTTCCACGCGAATCGGCCAGGACTCGCACCCATAGAACAATACTGAGCGAACTTATGCGCTGTAAACGCGGCCCTTGAGTGAGAATGAGACGTCACGACGACGCCACAAGTGCCTCAGATTGACTAATGCTGATCGAGCTTTATCGATGCGAGTAGAAACTTCTTTGCTGATAGTGCCGTCAGCAGAAATACGATTCCCAAGGTAGACGAACTATCTACATGTTCAAGTTGTGTATCTTCGAGAGTGAGTACGGGAGCAGGTGAAAGCCAATCCTTGAGCAGTACTTTACACTTCGATGGGGTGAAGCTCATATGATAGATATTTCAACCGCCAAACGATCCAGAATGAGTTGCATACCCTCAGGATCGTCACCAAGTAAGGCGATATCATCAGCATAATCTAAGTCGGTCGCACGCTCACCCGGTAGAAACTCTAGGCAAAAATGTTGGAAACCTTCTAGAGCATTCGACAGAATGTCTTCGATTGCGAAGTTGAAGAGGAATGGGGACATAGGGCAGCCCTGTCGCACACCGCTATTGACAGCGAATTGGGAGGAAAGCTTGCCATAGACCCTCACTCTGCCGGATGTATGAAGGTAAAGTGCTCGTAAGATGGCGGTATATTTCTCTGGCACCCCGTTCTTTAGCAAGCAACGCCATAAAGCAGGTCGATCAGCGGAGTCAAAAGCGGCAAGTATGTATAGGAATCTAACGATAGTGGGCCTGTGATAAGTGTGGCGATGTTCGAGGAGCTGGCGGAGCGTGAAGATTTGATCCACGCATCTGCGGCCAGGACGGAAACCAGCTTGTTCTTCACGGTAGTATGATTCACGTGCTGGGGATAGTCTACGAAGCAGAATGGATGCCAACAGCTTAGAGACAACCGAAATAAGACTAATCCCGCGATGATTTGCACATGAAGTGTGAGCACCTTCCTTGAAAATCGGGGCAATAACTGATTCGCCCCAAGAGGAAGGCACTTTCTCTTCATGCCATATTTTTGCGAACAGCGCGGTCAGCTGGTTAATGATCGCCAAACCGCCGTACTAGAATAGCTCCGGAGGAAGTCCGTCTAAGCCGGCAGCCTTGAAGCGCTTCAAGCGTCGAATCTCGAGGCAGACTTCCGCTTCGCTGGGTGGATTCAGTGGGACGAGCCAGGGTGGACAACAAGGTGCACTGCATGTACTGATGGACGGTCAAAGCCAGTTGAACTGCGAGTGAAAGTGCTCAGCCCAGCGGTCCATACGCCTCTGTTGGTTGGTGATCGGAGACTCATCCACCTCACTGACACCACGCTTCCCGAGGCCAGTGGACCGAATGAGTTGGAAAAGCCTGCGAGTGTTGCCAGAGAGGGCAGCGGTCTCCATCTCTAGAGCACGCTCAGACCACCATGTCTCGCGATCCTTGCGTAGGCTTTGTTTGAGCAGCCAGTTGGCAGAACGGCGCCGCTCGTTGCAATCTGACTCCGCGGGGATATCTTTGCGGCGTTCGAACAGCTCCAGAGAACGAGCAGAGATCCAAGCATTTAGGGGGCGTCGAGTTAGACCGCAGCATGACTATCCGGAAATGGTCATCGCTTTCCGTATACAGGTCCAGTGTTGTTCCACTTCTTGCGGTGGATTGCAACTGACTGCATATACCAGTGAAGACTGATAGCTCGGTTGGACAGAGGAATCAGTTAATCTGTTTACATCAATCTTGCGGTGCTTCGTGTTCCGGGACCCTCCAAAACACATACAGATTTTCGCGCACACCAGGCCATGATCTGAATCAACGAAGGTGGACCAAAAGGACCTGCAGTCCAGTACGCTGCCGCGCCATCTGAAACTAACTGCAATATGATCAATTTGAGACCACGGTTGTGTTGAAGAAGGGGGACGCCACGTTGCGCAACGCCTGAAGTTAGTGCTCGAAAGAAACAGACGGTTGTCTTCGCATACCCAGCATTCTCATCCCTGTTGTGTCACCCAAGCATGTATAATGGGAAAATGAAAAGTAAAAATACGGAAAAAGGGGGAAATATTATGCTACAAATTATTATAACAATTAGTGATGGAAACTAAAAGTGCTATCACTTAATGGAGAGAAAAACCAGATAAAAGTGATGATGCCATCTAACAGTATTAAGTCAAAAACAGTAGCGGACTTAAGTATATTCGCTGGAATGGGATCCTGGCAGTTCACAAAAAAACAGCAGCAGTATGTCGGTACGCAGCACCGAGATTGCGTGGGGACTGGGCGACCCTCGGAGCATCCTCTGGTCATGTGCGACTGGTGGTGATTGCGCGTGGGCGAAGTGTCGATACCTGGTATTGCTGATGCCTTTCATATATGGCTGGCGGCATCCGGTTCCGGATTTCTCTGTCAATGCGGCCTCCATGGGGACAGCCACAGGACGCCTGAGCCTACAGGGGGACCATTGATGGCTTGCGCTGCACCACGCACAGCTCCATTCACACCCCCCGAAGGAATAAGATCGGGAGACATAGATTAGAGCCACGTTTTATCAACGGAGTCAACCCACACTCCTTCAACATGCATAGCAGCAACATTACTGTCTATCCAATTTGAGAATCATGCGTACCAGACGTACACAAGGCAGTGGCTGGACCGTAGCCGGCTCCACACTAGATTGAACCACTCCTTGAGCCTAGCAAGGTCATGAGGACCTTGCACTCCGTTCCCCACAGCAACGTTTCAGGCTCCTGGAGTTAGTATATGACGGGATGGAAGGTAATATACTGTAGGCACCTTGTCAACCTTCACATCAGGTGTAACCACACCGGGGATGTCAATCAACACACAAACCCTGAAATGCATGGTTGCGCGGCAGTGAAACTTCGCTACTGCGTACTGGACTATTGCTGATGCTACTTTCTTAAAACAAGAGGAGAAATGTCAGCGAAATAGTGATAATACAAAGGTATGATAAGACTTAAAAAAGGAACAGAAAGCTGAAGATACAAGTCGTTATGAGAAGATGAAGGTTTGGTACTGCTATTTAAGAGCACCTAACTGGCACTCGAAACCATCAACCGTAGATTCCATAACGAAGTGCTCTGAAACCAAGTTCCAACGACCAATAATTCGGCGCGACGAATGAGTTTCCGTTTCAAATCGGTCAGAACGCAGTTTGTGCAGCTTCAACTGGGGACTTCGGAAACTAAGTAACTTAGTGGGACTAAACAGCCCGGACAAGTCTGGTGCGATCTTACTCATTAGGACACGGTAAATGAGGACCAAGTCGCCTCACATACTCAGGTAATGCATTGGGAACATCCACATACTAAGCAAACGTTCGGGATAATTTTGCCATCGTAGACTCTGCACTAATGTTCGACCCACTTCGCAAAACCCTCTCCAATTCCATTTTGCTCCTTACAAGATATGGTGAACAAGCCTGGATACAGTATACTAAGTGGGGTCGCACAAAAGTCGAGAAAAACTTCAAAAACATATAGGCTGTTAGAACATGAAAGATGCGGTGTATAAAGCACCTCATATGGAACCCTCTACAAGCAGCCTTCCTCGAATTGTCCCCAGAGTGAAGCATTGAGGTGTGGGTGACGCCTAGTTTAGCCTGCTGAGTGACAACAGGGAGTTCGCTTCCGCCGACAACATAGCGCGTGAGGGGACTAGTAGCTCCAATGCGGAGGACAGAACATTTCGCCCGATTTATAGGCATCAACCATAAATTTGACCAATCCCAGAGCCTATTCAAGCCACTCTGAATTGCCTCAGAACCCCCAGGGATATTCACAATATTCCAGAGGTTGAGGTCATCAGCAAAAAAATATCGACGGTACTTCAAGCTCCTGGGGTAAGTCATTGACATGAAATGCGAAAAGCAGCAACTCTAAAACCGAGCCCTGCGGAACGCTAATAAGACAAGCTTGCCTAAGCGAAAGACTAGGCCCCACGCGTACACAGTTTCCTCCTCTCTGGAAAAGCTGACACCGATTTAAGAGCGCCACAGATATTCCGTACGATCTCAACTTTAGTGAGTCGTAGATGGGTTGCAGTAACGAAGGCTTTCGAAAAGTTGGTGAAAAGCACGTGAATAGCGCGATTGCTGTCTAATGCTTCAGCCGAGCTATCACAAGCTAAGAATAAATTTG